GTCGACGAAGCTAAAAACAAAAATTATACTTGAAATAAGAAAGGGCGGGGTTCAACGACTTTTCTGAACTTGCTTACTCCACAGTTCCACTAATCCGGATTACGCCGTAAGTATAGCGCACCTTCCATGCGTGCCATGGAAGGTGCGCTGTGTAACTCGTCCAAATGCTAAGATTAGTAGCCAAATGCTGACTTTGTAAGCACTGAGCGCCACTTCCCATTCCCAGTCGCCAACTTCCGAGCCGTAATAACGGCACTTCTGCGCTCGTGGGCTACACTATCACACCCACCGAATAGTTTCTTCGACCTGCCTTTCGCTGGGGATGTTGCTTTAAATGCACTTCCTTATCAAAAAACTCTTCAAATCAAGGACCTTCTGATTAGAACGTGCTCTTGGGGTGGTATGAACTCTTAAGCCTGAAGATCAAATTTGTAGGAAACAAAAAGCCCTGACGCCTGCCCATAGGTGATAAAATCATCTAAATCTTAAACCCTTTTGAAACTTGTTATCTAAATCATCTAAATCACTAAACCCTTTTAAAACTTGTCCCAGGCGACAGTTACACCTAATGAGCAAAAGCATCACATTCAAGCGGCACGGAAATGCTCTGTGTGGGTGCTAGTAAAGCCTGCACAGTCAAACTCATCCTTGCAGTGGTTTTCCGCGAAATGCAAAATATACGGGCATGTCAGCGAATTGTAAAAAGAGTTCGAGATACCCTCTAGAAAACGAGAAGAGCGTCGAGTGCAGACCACACACCACAAGTGACGACGGCCAAGAAAAAGTGGCTTTTTTTTTCTTTTTCTTGGCCGTCGTCACTTGTGGTGTGTGGTCTGCACTCGACGCTCTTCTCGTTTTCCGAAATAGACAGTACAGCCTCGAATCTTCCTAACCTTTCAAGTAGGCGATAGAAAGCGGCGTGAGCTTCCAATCGTTCTCCTGCTTCAGGCAGCTAGGATCCACGCTTGCAAGCAACCGCAGGCATTCTATCCATCCGTAGGCGGCAGCATAATGCGCAGGCGTATTTCCGGACGAATCACCCTGTAAGAAGTGAATTCCAATGAGCTACATAAAAAAAAAACTTAGCAAGTTAATATCAGATGTGCTACCTTCAGTAGATCAGCGCCTTTCGCCAACAGCATAGCAGCGCAATGCTCCTGTCCGTTCAGTACAGCATGGGAGAGAGCCGTACGTTTCTTGAGGTCTCTAGCCATAATCAGAGCGCCGTGCTGGATCAGTGCTTCGGCGATTGGCAGAAATCCAAGACTGCAGGCGATCTGGAACGACGCGTAACACTAGGGCATTGAGCAACTTCAAGCCTTACTAAAGTGGTTGCAAATACCACCTACCATTAGAGGTGTAAGCTTGTTGTGGGCACTGGACGTGGGATGGTCAACAAGTACCGTGCTTGTGGGCGAGCAAGCAGTACGGCTGCTGACGACCTGAACAACTGAGATTAAGAAGTACCTTGCTAATTATTTAAATTAAAGGCATGGCCCTTAAGAAAATGATGACTTCCTTCTCCACACAAATAGTAAGCGTTGGCGATCACAAGATATAGTGTACAAAATTCCATGTATGAAGATTCAGTTTCCAAAGAAGCAAGCATTCGACTACCTAAGCGGACAGAAGACAGCCACCTGGGCGGAGCTAAAACGCACCGAGTGGAACACGTGTGGGAAGTGCACGCGTAGGTGAGCGAGCCATTGATGATTTCAACCTCCTTAAAAAGTGGAGAGAAGACGCTTTAGCGCCGTTGGAATAGAATAGGTCTCGCAGTAAGTGGTGTGAGCCAAAAAGTGTTTCGTGATGGCACACAAAGGAAACAGATTATCCCCACTCCCAAGGGCTGTGACGTGTCACGGCGGATATTTGAACGAGTAATAGTTCTTCTGCTTTTTCGAACTGTTTGAAAAAAGGATGAAATTTTTCGAATTAGTGAAGGATACGACCCAAGCCAACGATTCATAGAAAAACAGAGCACGGTCTTTGATGGCTATTGTGGGCCTCACCTTTGGTAGCGTACTGCTAAGGCCAAAGCCGTGTCACCATGCCTCGTTCGAGCATTTATCATTGACTTCTCAGGTTTGATTCCTTGAGCTCCTTTTTCGGGGGCTTCCAAATTGGTTATGGCGTCGTCGAGAAGGATCTGAAGGAATTCACAGATTGATCAGTATGAACGCTGTCAAGTGTAAACGCAGCGCTGAGTCCAAGTGACCCAAAACAGCAGTGAAGTTCTACAAAGAGATACTCACTTTGATGGTTTCCTTTCTTCCGGCTCGTGCAGCAACATGAAGCGGTGACTCATGCTGCTTAGTCAAAGCTAAAGGAGAAGCACCGTTCTTCAGAAGGAATTTGAGCGGCTCCGGTCCTTCGCAAACCGCGGCATAGTGGATGGTGTACCTGGAAATAGGATGCACCGTTTTGTGATATAAAATCAATGTGGTAAATGAGAAGTTGTTACACTTCCATTTTGAATGAGGAAAGAAAACTGACCAATTATTCAAATCGGGAATATTGATATTCGGCTCTATTGTGCGGAGGCGTTCAAGAATCTAAAAAAAGGCTACTTGCAAATTGCTCAAACGAATAATTAAGAAAGGAATTGTACTTTTAGAACAAAACATGAAACATTGCCAACTACATTTTTTGTTATTGCCTAATTAAAAAAGAACTGCCTATAGCGCCGCAAACTTTTTATGGATTTTTTAAATACCAATTCATGCTTCAAAAATTCGTAAATGAGATAATCTTATAACAGGGGGGGGGGGGGGCAAAAAATGAGTCACTCCTACTCACATTCAAAACAGAACTAATTACACTTTGCCAAAACCAAACCGAATGAGCTCAACTGCATATTGAAGAGCACATTTTTTTCTATCAAAAACATTGCAATCCGTGGTCACTTCTCGCCAGACAACCCAGAGCACGAACCAGAGATTATCACCCACGTTTGGAAACATGGTTCGCGGTACGAGCTCAACGGGGTCGTCGAGAAACCATAGATGATTACGACGTCTCTGAAACGCTGGTCAAAAGCCATTTTGCATAGTCAGAGCTAGTGTCTCTAAGAAGTCATTCACCAGTTATCCGATTGAAGAATTTATGTAGCAGCTTCAGAATGGAGCGATTATTGTAGGCCTCCTTAAGCTCGACGGTGATGACAGATGACGTCATATTCTGGAGACGGTGAACGCAGCGAAGGTGGGCCTGATTCTGCTTATGGGGGACATCTAAGGAATAATTTCGCCGTATAACTCCCAATAACAGCGGCATCCTTTGCGACGAAAAGTTTGATGATATGACGCTCCAGTAGGCAAAGTGACTCTTTTTTTTTGGCCCCCCCTG